AGGTTCACCCCCCTCCCCCCAGAAGAACTTCAGTGCTTTGCAGTGTAAAAGTCAGCAGGAAAAAGCTTAAAGCAAGGTCTCAGCCCCAAAGAGCTTACATTCAAAATCTAGACAGTGGGGGGGGGGAGAGCAGAGAAAGAGAGAGAGAGAAAGAGAGTGGGAGGGGGGAGAGAAGGGTTAGAAAGCCAACACCGTACTAAAAACATGAACACCCATGGACAGGGAGTGCCTATGAGAAGCACAAAAAATACAGTGTGAGGAAGTACTCCCCTTCTAAATTAAATTTAGCAATTGTTTGCAAGTGGTTTTTCCCATTTCACACAGTAAAATCAAGTTGCAAAGTGTATTGAAAGTGGATTGAAAATGTAGTATTTAGTGTGTATAAAAGGAGCTGTAATCCTGGGATGAGCTCACAATAGTTGCTTCCCATTGAATGAGATGTGTTCGCCTGATGAACTCATTCATGGCAAGGATTGCAACATTCTTATCGGCAGGGGTTTTTTTGTAGAAAAAGCCCAGCAGGAACTCATTAGCATAATAGGCCACACCCAACAGCAGAAACCTATTAGCATATTAGACTACACCCCTGACAGCACAGCTCATTAGCATATTAGGCTATTAACATGTTGACCAGAAGTGTTACCAGAAGTGTTGACCACATGTTACCAGAAGTGTGGTCATCCAACCACACCCACCTTTTTCTTCTTATTCTGTTTACTTTGTTGTCAAAACCCTGGGCTTTTTTTGTAGCAGGAACTACTTTGCATGTTAGGCCACACACCCCTAATGTAGCCAATCCTAATGAGGGTCTGCTGTTGGGTGTGACCTAATATGCTAATGAGTTCCTGCTGGGCGTGGCCAACTCAGGAGCCAGCCGGAACTCCGTTCCTGTGCGTTCCTGCCCCAAAATAGCCCTGCTTACTGGTAAGAACCACCACCATGTGTGGATTATAGCTCTGTTATATTCACTAAGACTTCATATTTAGCTAGCCTCTCTTTTTGCTCCATTTTCTAATATAATCTAGCATTACATGATTATGATTTATCCTTTTGTCTGTCTTATAGTTGCATAGTGTATTATTATAAATGTTTTAAAATAAAAATATAGGATCAGAAAAGTAGAAATGCCATTACATTTTAACAAAAAAGATCCTGTATTCATTACCTTCAGAGACGACTTTGTCCGAGATTCTGTTTTTTGTTTTGTAGGTGTACTTTGAATAAGCAGTGACTGATCTGTTCGAGAATCATAATTCCCATGTTCTGAATCATCTGTATATGTGTCTTTCTCTCTTCCTAGGCCTAAGGGGGAAAGCACCAAAAAAACAAACAAACACAGATGGACTCATTTGATATTACTATGGAGATATTTTAGCACTGTACAAAACTAATCCCCTCAATTAACGCCTTTTATGTACTTTATCATACATTTTTTCAGCTTCCCCACCCCCAAAGCCCCTATTTTAAAGCAAATCCTATTATATAACATAAATCACACAAACATATGTGTGTACATATGCATATATAAAAATTTAAAATGCATTCCAAAATCTGCTCTCTGTTACTGAAGTTATCTAAGTGGAAAGCTGGCATCCTTCAGCTGTTAGATTTGTTCAGGTGCTATAAATAAAGCTGGTAAAAAAAGTAAAAAGGAAAGGCCAAAAGAGAAAGCAAGAATCTTCTGGACATCAGCTACTTACAACCTCTACTGGATAATGACAGTTCTCTTTCACAAGTACTGGGGGGCAAATGTTTTCTTGTGCACAGACAGCCCCCCACTCTTAAACAACTCCTCACCCATAATAATACAACATCTAATTTGAACATGCACACTGGTACCAGAGCCTGCAATAAACCCAGATGCCAACTTTGCTGCCACATACACCCAGACAACACAACCAATGGACCTAACAACATCAACTACACCATCTCAGGCTAATTTACAGGCTCATCTTCTAACACTGTATATGCCATTAAATATCAACAATGCCCTTCCCTTCTCTACATAGGGCAAACAGGTTGATCCCTGTGCCAGGGCTGGCCCGAGGCGTTCCTGTGCCCTAGGTGAGTGCAGATGCCAACTTCCCAGTGGGGCCTGGAGACCTCCCACCTGGTGTGCGTTGCCTTAGGGCAGAACTCGGCTTGGCAGCGCCACTCCCATCCAGTCCCCCGGGCAAGATGTCCAGTCTCCCTGGCAAGGCCTGGTGCACTGCCACCATGCGGGGAGGCTCCATGGCGGGCGGCTGGCCCCCGTGCCTTGAAAAGGAGTGCACCTGGCCTCGCAGCCAACCTCTCACCTGGACTCGGAGAGGCCGCCCCAAACCAACAGCAGCCTTTCCCCAGATTGCGCCGTCCGGGAGTTCCTGGGTCTCTGCAGCGGTGGCAATGGGGCTGGGTGGAAGGAACAGCGGTGGTGGGGCGCACAGGATGGACGGCACTGGAATGGGGCTGGCCACCGGCGTCCCCTCCGCCGCCCGCCCTCCCTCCCCACGGGGCGCCCGGTTGGCTAAGTCTCCGCAGCGCTGGCCCAGTGGAAGAGGACCTGGCAGCCGCTTCACTGGCAAGTGAAGGGGGGTGGGGGGAGGGAGGGGCCAGCAGCCAAGAGGGAGGTCTGGAGGGGGGACGAGGCTGCGCAGAGGGGCATCATGGTCCCTCGTGGCCTGGATCGTCATCACTGGGGGGGCTGGCCTGCCCACCCCCGCCAGCTCTCTCGCCTCCCCACCCGCCGGCCGCACTGTAGCCTTTCCCTTTTTTGGGAGGGGTGGTGGTGGTGGGCACGGAGGGGCGCCATGGCGCTTAGCTCCTGCGGCCGGTACTCTGGGGCGAGTGATGCTCTGTCATCTTGGTGCTTGGGGGGGTCAACGGTGGGAGGGCTTGTAATGTCCTGGCCCCACTGGTGGACCTCCTGATGGCACTGGTATTTCTGGCCACTGTGTGATACAGAGTGTTGGACTGGATGGGCCTTTGGCCTGATCCAACATTGGCAACTCTTATGTTCTTATGTTCTTAAGACTGAAAAACTTGCAGGGGAAAGCTTCAGCCTTCTAAGACATTCAGTGGGTGACCTCAAAGTAGCTGTTGTATTACAAAGGAATTTCAGGAGCAGAACAGAAAGGGAAATTGCTGAGTTACAAGTTATTACAACACTCAGAACAATGGAATCCCAAGGATTTAACAGGGATATTGGTTTTTTTATTTCACTACATATGCTAACTTCACTCTTACATTTGTATTCTCACCAATCCCCCAGAAGGGCCATACTCCCTCTTTATTTTCTTATTTGGAATAATAGATTAGAGTATTACACTGTAATGTATCGTAATGAACAGTAGAGGGAAGCCATACTAACTTTGCAGTCCTTCAGGACAGTGGCTCTGACTATGCCAAGCCTCATTGCAACGGACAGCTATGTAGATAACGCTGGAGCCTCTAGCTTGGATTGTAATATCTAAAAGGTGTGCCTTCTAATACCAGGTATAGAAGTATTATATAGAAAAAATAGCTTTCTTATTTTCTTGCTGCAAGATTTTAGAGATTGTGTTGCCTAGTTGCCTAGTATCATCTTATTCTTTAAGCATTTAATAAGCCTTCATATATTATACCTCTTGTTTACATATAGCCTTGAAAATCCATATCTCTGAGCACTGCCTGCATGCCCAAGGGTGGTGGCTCAGAGGGACCCAGGCTCGGATCCTTGACACCTCGATATCAGTTGTAATAGCGGGAGGTCGCCAGTGACCACCTGAAGCTTGGCAACCCTATTAATTGTTGTTGTCCTGTTGTTTCCTTTCACTAAGTGGCTTCCTTTGCACAGTGCCCCCTCTCTCTTTCTGTCGATCTGCCATTCCTTCACAGAACTCCCCCCTCCCTTCCTGTTGATCTACCATTATTTCCTTTGGATGGTTTTCAGGGAGGCTGGGGTGGCTGTTTTTCAGCACTAACCATTTTGTGTCAGCCAAATGATTCCAAAATAACAGCAGAATGGATGCTGTACCTTCTAAACAGTTTGCTGTTCCTCCCCCCCCGGCCTTTGCCTCGGAACACAGAGGTTGTTTACATATGCAACTTGATTGGCTTTTGCCTCTAACATTTTAAACAGTTTGCTGTTCTGAGGTAAAATGTGTCCAATCTCCTGGAGATCACTGAGAATTACAACTGCTTTCCAGATGGCAGAGATCAGTTACCCTGGAGAAAATGGTGAGCTCTGTATCCTTATATGCTGCTGAGGTGGCCCTCGTATGACAGCCAATGTGACGTAGCAGTCAGGACTTCAGAGCACGGGAGAGGCTGCAGGTGTATGGGGGATGGAAAGCTGAAGAGTGAAGGGAAAATAAAGGTAGGTTGATGATTAGCTGGGAAGGAGATAGGGTGGGAAATTCCTGGAGATGTGAGGGATGGAGCCTGTAGAGGGTGAGGTTTCAGGAGGCATGGGACCTCGGACAGGCACAAAGCCATAGACTCCACCCTCAAAACCAACCATTCCCTTCTGGGGAACCATCATTGCCAATCTCCAGGTGAGGGCTGGAGATCACTCAAAATTACAACTGTTCTTTAGAGTAGCAGAGATAAGTTCCTCTGGAGAAAATGGTGGACTCAGTGTCATTATACCCTGCTGAAGTTGCCACAGCAAATTGACACTGAGTGTCCAAGGCCAGGACACCCACCCAGAGCCTCTAGAGACCATTGTATTTATTTCCACAATGGGCCTTTCCCCTAGTCATACAATATTGCAGTAAGGTTTCAGTGATGTCATTAAATATCTTACTGTGCTTGTCCCATATTGCCAATAATGTATTGATTCTAGGCACTGCAAACTTTAAATAAAAAAAAGATCCAGCTACAATATAATTCTTTTTCATAGAAGGATGAGTTACTAAAGCTTACGCATTTTGTTCTCTTTTACAAAAGGTAAGTTGACTTACACAAAGCCCACTACTTGCATCTCTCACTCATAAATTATTTTGGGTGACCACCTACAACAATTGTTTACAGCAAAATCCTGCACTACATAAACTATCATTTAATTCTGTTTCTTTTGGCCCATAAGCAACATTTTTTCATTTCCAAATTGCAATATTGAAAAGGGCAGCAATTTCCCAGTCTTACCCAAGTTTGCAACTCACTGGTACACTGGAAACAACTGGATGCTGTTAATAGTTATGTGACACAGATGCTGGCATCTACAAAATCATACTGCAGCCCTAATAATCAGCTTGACAAAGAATTTGAGGCCTTTATAAGAGCCTGTATTCCAAAACTTGAGATATTATTGAGCCAAAGGAGCTTTTGATTCCACATGATATTCTTGTTAGTGGGATTCGTAACTGGTTGACAGATTGCACCCAAAGGGTGCTTGTTAATGGGTCCTCATCCTTTGGAGTGACAAGTGGAATGCCTCAGGGATCTATCCTGGGCCCTGTGTTGTTCAACATCTTTATAAATGATTTAGAAGAAAGAATAGAGGGAATGCTCATTAAATTTGCAGTTGATACTAAATTGGGAGGGGTAGCAAATAAATTTGAAGACAGAGTCAAAATTCAGGATAATTTTGACAGGTTGGAAAACTAAGCTAAAACTAACAAAATGAATTTCAGCAGAAATAAATGTAAAGTTCTGCATTTAAATAGGAAAAATAAACAACATGGGAAGACTTGTCTTTTATATAGAGAGAAGAAAGTCCCCTCACCGTAAAATGAAAGCCCAGCCCAAACCCCTGGACCTAGAAACACAAAATTCGAGGAGAGCGCACCTACCATGACGTAGGTGCTCACTAAGAAGGGATTTTTAGAAATTTGACCCCTAAGCGGCAGTGTTCCCTCTAAGCTGAGTTAGTGTGAGCTAGCTCACAGTTTTTTAGCCTCCGGCTCACACATTTTTGTCTTAGCTCAGGAAGGATGACTCCAGAACAAACTAATTTATGCAGGAGCCAAATTGCTTGCTCACAACTTTAATGCCAGTAGCTCATAAAGTAGAGGTTTTGCTCACAAGATTCCATAGTTAAGAGAGAACATTGCTAAGGGGTAAAATGTGCTCCCCCATTGATTCCTATGTGGCTGCCAGGCTGCTGCCTCCTTGCACCCACCATACTCTGATTGGTCAGCTGCAGAGCTCAGCATTCTGAGGGGGAAAAACAGGTACAGGAGACTGCAGAGAGCTAATGACAGTTGAGGAAATCAGGAGTGGCCAACCACCTGTGAGGTGAAGCAAAGCTGCTGGCCCAGCCTCCCTATGGCTTCAAACATGTTCCCCTCTCCTACACCTGGCAGGCAGTTGTCTGTCAGGTGCAGCAGCAGTTGCAGGGT